ATTGCCCCAGAATTGGGTTTGAAAACATTGTTTGTTTGTGACAAACGAATCTCTAAGAATTTAGCTGCACTGCTGGCATTTGTTGGTCAAACATAGTGCCCTTCAAAGCTACTCACTGAATCCTAAATCTATATCAGAAGGTAATCCCATAGATAAGGAAAATTTCATAGAGTGTAGGTGCTGAATCCAATATAGCCTAACGTTAACTCGTGATGCGTTGTTTTTCCCTGTTTCGTTTATTAACAGTTTGGAAGCTTGAAAGGCCTCAGTTAACGTGAAAAACATATGAGCAATTCACAAAAAATAGTCATCCTTGATGACAGCAGCCGACCAGAGGGGCAGAGTTCCTTACTTCATGTTGAATGAAGTAAATACGTCATAACAGAACGCAAAGGACAACACTAACTTAAGTAGAAATAACGAACTACCTTGAGTGTACGAAGTCATGGTGATAGTATCTGGAGATGAGCGAACTGTGAGGCAAACGGTGAAGAAAACTGGCAGTATGACGGCAATGTGTGATAGCGACAAAATGGCGGTATCAATAGTGAAACTGTCGTCATAGCGACGTCATAAATCTCGCGAGATCGTCATAGCCTCGCGTGACGTTAACGCCATGACTGGTTTTCTTTGTGCTCTTCGCAAGTCAGGATCCCAGCCATGTTTCCCGATGTCGCGAGGTTAAAAATGGCTGATCTTGGCATGTATATAGAATGTCTTCATGCCAAACAAACAACAAACGAACAGACGATGCAGCATCAGTGTCCATCTGCAAATAGTCACTACTCAAAATACCAATATGATGTTAAAATTAAACTCACTCGCTGACTACTCTAAATATGATTGTAAACGTGTTTGTACCACACCAATTCGATTTGAAGCAGTCACTTTAGTCTGTTACACTCCACCCTCGTATAACATGCTATCTATTAGCAGTCAAGGGGAAATGACTTGGTTCCAAAAGTAATAAGCGTCTCCCGAAGTAAATGCAGACACGATTTTTCTCAGACAATGTAACTCAAACTCATAAATGTTTCTCAATACGTGGACAAAGACAAACTAACTGGACTTGATTGAAAGTAGGTAAATTACTTAGAACCTAACTCAAATGTTTCGTAATACGGTGATAACACGAGGCAACCTGGCTGTCATTGTACAAACAACCTTAGGGGCGGTGAGGTAGCCTAGTGGTTAAAGTGTTGGCTCGTCACGCCAAAGACCCGGGTTCGATTCCCCACATGGGTACAATGTGTGAAGCCCATTTCTTGTGTCATCGCCATGATATTGCTGGAATATTGCAAATAGTGGCGTAAAATCTTACTCACTCACACAAACAACCGACTACGACTTTAGTCAATAATAAGGCATGGGAGTTATGGTCACATCACCACTAAACTCGCTCTGTATAACGGCACTCTGGGTTTTTACATTCTGGAATTATGTTTTTGTACCTTTGAATAAATAATTCCTGCGGGTAGTGTATTTTGCCTTATGTCAAACAGTTAAATATATTTTGCTCCCTCGCTTTGTCGTAGGAGGCGACTGACAGAATCGGATGACCAGGCTGACTCGATGCCCATGTTGTCAATCACTGGATTTCTCGATCTATTCAAATATTTGCAGACCGCCGTTATAAAGCTGGAACATCGGGAGAGCGGCGTTAACTGTAATCTGTTTGATTAATTTTACAGATTTTACAGGCGCTTCAGAGGCCTGACACAAGAAATTTTAAGAGTGAGTGGGCGAGTTGGGTTTTACGCCACTTTTAGCAATATTCCAGCAATATCACGACGGAGGACACCAGAAATGGGCGTCACACATTGTACCCATGTGGGGAATCGAACCCAGGTCTTCGGCGTGATGGGCGAATGTTCTTATCCACTAGGCTACCCCCACCGCCTCTGAGAAATGTCAAGAACGAATTATACAGAGGCGCTTATCTCAACTGTTCCATTTTGGCGATGATATTTGACCCGTGTCCAGATGACACGCTCAGATATACTGACGTCATATTGAAAGCAGTGATAAACAGAACTCACTCACTCGAACCACTTAGAATCACTCCAAGACCAACTAATTTCCTACAAAGCGAATGGAGGTTAGCTCCCTTTGTGAAAGAACGTTTGAATTTGAATTCACATTCAATTATCATCCGTCAGCCATCACACATGCATGGCTGACACAAAATCTTACTAATGTTGTATAATTCACAGGTAAGCACCCTCTCTATATCCTTTCTCTATTTCATAGTGCTAAATATCTAATTATTATCAGTTAAGTATCTTAAGTTAGTAAACATATTTGTCACCGATCGCGCATAAAGTAAACATATCTATCGCGTATCACGTACTAACTTAAGCACTAGCACGTAAGACAGTTTGTGAAAGTATAATTATAATATATTTTATAAACCTTTTATTATCAACACCAACTGTCTATATTTTTAGCAATAATATGATGCATCACCTGTATGTGACGTCATAATGTAAACAATCAACATTATTCAATGGTTATCATAATTATAACGTATGTCACTGTGCTATTTGATTATCAATTGAATAATTAATATGCCTGATTGATTCACATTCAATTGTCATCCGTCAGCCATCACACATGCATGGCTGACACAACATGTTACTAATGTTGTATAATTAACAGTCAATAAACGAGATGTTTTACACCAACGAGGGTCTCCGTCCGTTATTTTGTCTGCTTGGCAAGAATAAAGCCTGAACCCGCGACACCTTTTTAAAAATATTTTCAATACAAACGGAGAGACAAAGTGTTTTCGTAAAATATTCATTACAAGAATCGATATGCAAATAAAAACAAAATAATTCAGCAAGACTAACATCACGACACACCAATAAGTGTGCTCCTTTTATTTGTTCACCTATACCATTTAAAAAAGTAGGGGGTAGTCAACTAAACTACTGATATTTAATACCTTAAAGAGATAAATAGTGTCAGAGGGATATCTGACTGAGATTAACATTAGTCGTTAAACGTCAGATGACAATAGATTTTGTTAGATGATTGACCAAAGCACCCTGCAGTAAGTCTGTCATGCCATTTACCTGAAAAGTCAAACACATTAATATCGTGTGAATCCGTCTCCATTCTCAAGACAATCCCGGATTCAACGAGACATAACCCTACTCAAACGTCCAATGTCACCTTGGTTCCTCCCATCCCATTCTGTCCGCAGAGTAGTGCCAAGTTCGTTCATATTGGTCAGTGGTTGTCGACAGTGACGTAAGCGCCGTCCAAGAATACCCCGAACATGTTCGACGGGTGACAAGTCTAGTGCTGGCCATCTTTTTAAAGGAGGTTATGTTCTCCTGTTGGAGATACTCAGTGAGAATTGGAGGCCTCTGTGCTCTTGAGTTGTCATCCTGAAACACAAACGACGTCGGCGAACATAAGACACCAATAAGCCTCCAGCACTTGGTCACGGTAGTACTGCGCAGTGACACGTCTGTGTATAACATGTCATGGTGTTGTGACAGTCAAAGTGATCCAACCCACACCACCATAGTCGTCTCACAGTCCCTGAACCTCATTATATTCCCTACAGCCTAGCCCTCTCTGCAGTGCTTAAAGCCCAAAATACAGTAAGTCTAGATTTCCTCAGGTTCAGGAATCTCTGGTCTCCCTGGGGCTCCTTTTCAATTTAAATGGGCTTGTTTGTTACTATCAAACTTATATATATTTAGAGACTAAGCATTAGTCTAACACCATCACCGAGCCACCCCAAAACGATTACTCTGTCTATTTTCATTACTATTTTCTCGTATCTTCATTCTATGTTATTTCCCTCCACTTTGGTTGTGGGTCTTCCCTGATCGCCCTTGTGTCTGCCTACAGCCAGGACGGGTGACATGTCTCACAATACCTTGTCCCCAGTGTCTACATCAACCATGATGCAAACACAGCATATATATGTTCAGTAGCAAATATACACTGGGTTAGAATTTGTGCGTGTGCGTTTTTTCTAGTTCAGGAACGCCTTTAAATTCAATCCTGTGAGTGTAGGTGAAAACAGGTATATATATAAGTATCTTTTTCTATGAGAGTATACCCTGGCCCTATTTGCCTCTAGAGCTTTGTGACCCGTGAAGATCCGGGGTAGACTAGGTCTTCAGCAACCATGCTTGTCACAAAAGGCGACTATGCTTGTCGTAAGAGGCGACTAACGGGACCGTTTGGTCAGGCTCGCTGACTTGGTTGACACATGTCATCGGTTCCCAATTGCGCAGATCGATATTCATGCTGTTGATCACTGGATTGTCTGCTCCAGACTCGTTTATTTACAGACCGCCACCATATAGCTGGAATATTGCTGAGTGCGGCGTAAAACTAAACTCACTCTAGAGCTTTGTTTCGGGAGCCATCACCGTCTGTCTAATTTCTGAACAGGTCAATCGAGTTGAGTAGGAAGGGTTCGAAACGATTGCTGAGCACCTTCCTTCCACTGGTGTTTAAGACACCAACCAAGGATACAACGCGTTCAGATGTCTGGTGCCGAAATGCCAGATTTGCCTCGAGTGGAGATCCGGGTTAGAATTGATTTTCAGTAACCAATGCTTGTTGTAAGAGGCGACTAACGGGATCGGATGGTCAGGCTCGCTGACTTGGTTGACACGTGTCATCGTATCCCAATTGTGTACAACGATGCTCATGCTGTTGATCACTGGGTTGTCTGGTCCAGACTTATGTTCAGACAGCCGCCATATAGCTGGAATATTGCTGAGTGTGGGGTTAACCAAACCAGTACCATATCCGTGTCAATTACTGCATCAGTTTATCACTTTCACACAATGATGACTAACGCTAACACTCAAGCCGGTCGAAAGCGGCTTAGATCCAAATCACTCACTCATGCACATTAATACTACACCACGAATTTTTAAGTGATCTATATATGAATAACACTCAAGTTCGGCTTTATAAGTTTATTACAATGTTTCACTGTTACATGTTTATAACAGACGCGACACATCAGCTGGAGAGATACTCTTTGACTATGGTTCAGTGATCTGTTACGAGACGGGCGACACTTATCTTCTACCTGTGGACAGAAGGAAAAATCATTGTTAGAAATCTCAAAGAAGAGCAAAGTTCATTATACCATTCAGATTATATCCAATGCATGTGTTTAAGATTCACTATCAGGTGACACGGATGATCTCTCTAAACAAACTGTGGAATTATTATGGACATGCGCCATTGTTACTGCATGATGTCAGTTAAACATACTTTAGACGCAGGGCAAAAGAATTACCTGACATGGACAAAACTACTGACACATTAATGAGGTGGTGCATGAAAGTGAAATAGAGATTTTGTATGTTATGTGTGGAAAGTTTGATAAAACTGGTCTCGAGAACAGCTAACTCAGTAAAAATGAAATGGCGTGGAAAGAACAACAGGAAACCCCATGACACACCCCACTCGAAACCGTTGGGCAGACATGTTCTGACGTCACTTGTCGTTGTTGATGCAGTCAACCACTGGTCCAGACTCAAGTATTTACTGACAGAAAGCTGGAACACTGCTGCACAACATTAACATAAATTCAGTGTGGTTACACAAAACTCACTCACTCACTAACTCGCCCACGACTAAATGAACCATGTATGATGAGGTATGGTATTTCTGCACCTGGTGTTCAAGATGACTGACAATAAACAGATGTCGTGTGCTATGTAACAAAAGAAAACACAAACGGCTAGGAAATTAAGATACTTTTAATCAGTACAGATTAAAGTAAAAACTGAGGTTGAATCTTGTCTGAAAAAGCCAAAATGTTCAAGTAAAAACTAAACGTTTTTTCAAAGTATAACACATACACTCTACATTTTCTAAAAAGCCAAACCCACAAAATGTCCGAAAGGTCCGAAAAGTATAAATAGTGTTCAAAAGGTCCAAAAATGCAAAAAGTCACCAAACATTTTGTATTTATGATTCGATGTAAATAATTAATATATGACACAAAGTCCAAAAGGTGAAAGATGTCACTATGAGCGTCCATCTTGACATGGAACAGTCTCCTCAAGAATCCAACAGGTATCAAGATGTCACTGTAAGCGTCCATCTTGACACAGAACAGTCTCCTCAAGAATCCAAGAGTTTGCAAGATGTCACTATGAGCGTCCATCTTGACACAGAATAATTTCTTTAAGAATCAAAGATGTAGCAAGATGTCATTCTAAGCGTCCATCTTGACACGGAACAATCTCCTTTAGAATCTAATTGGTAGCAAGATGTCACTCTAAGCATCCATCTTGACACGGAACACTCTCCTCAAGAATCCAGACACGCGTGACAGGAAGACTCGAACTGGGGACTGGGTCGGGGTGTCGTCATCATCGAGGTTGATATCGACGAAGTGAGGGGCATCACGGAGGAAAGGGGTAGAGAGAGGGGCAGGGAGGGAGGTGGGAGGGACGGGCAGCTCAGACAGGGGCTCAAGGATGGTCATGTATCTCCCAGTAGGACGCTGAGAGGGAGGGAGAGAAGGACATGAAGAGAGTGACAGAAGGTGGAAGTGAAACAAGAGGAGGAAAGTTGTTAGATGGATTTGCTAAAAATATAATCATGATTTGAGAAGAATGTTAGCGTTTAACATATGTGATTATTACTGCTCATTAGTGTTCAAATTATTGGTGAGAGTTATGTTAGTAACAGATAAAGTGGATACATTCATGAATACAAAACACACAATTTCAGTTTTACAAAATAACTGATTCCCTAAGACACCCACTTGGCGAGGAGGGGCCCAGATGTCAAAGTTCAAAGGGAACCTGATCACGAGGTCAAGAGCTGTCGGAAGAAGGAATGAAAGTTATGTAAATCTATATACAAATACCTGGACCCAACTGTATTAAAACTAACGTCTTCATAAAAACCAAACTCTTTATTAGTTTTGACGACACCACCAAAATGGTTAAGTTGTAATAAAAAAAATTAGCATTTTCAAAACGTGTCATTAAATTAGGATTTTCCACCATAATTTAGCAATACTAACTTTTTATGAAGGCAAGCTGTCATTGGAAGTTTGCCACTCCAAATGTAATGTCACTTATGTGACAGTTTATATGAAACGTTATTGTACACAAGTAACCTGTTAAATTGTTTGAATTAAAATATTGAAACTTATGATGTTGTCAGTTAGGTAGAACCTATGCAATCACATTATATATAGTTAGTGAATCTGCTCCTGATCGTATGTAAGAAGATTTTCGGGAGTAGGTTAGAACTAGCCACACGATATTTCAATAAAATAATATTTTGGAACAGTATAATGGAACCATTGTAATCACCAACTGTGTGCTTTTTCTGAAAACAGTTTATCAATTCAATTGTGAAAAAAATTAGAATTCGTATGGTAGTGGGCTAGTTAATGTTGGTTAAGTACTAGGGAACCTCAATAAGCACCAGTTGTGTACATAGACGCCTTACTTATCGTTGTGCTATGGGTTTTCGGACACCTACGAACATGTTTTGTTGTCTCGGTTATCACATAAACAATTGTAAAACATGCCACAAACTTATAAAAGATAACTTTTATCATTGACACAAGCCATCTTTCAAGAGTTCAAAATGTCTCTGCGAGGCAACACCCCTCTATACAGCCCGAGTTAGAACGGCCGTCAGAAGACGCATGACGTCCGAAAACCGGTGATCCGACAACATTATATGTTTGTCGGAAGAAGAATTGGGTTTGAAAACATTGTTTGTCCAGTTTAGATCAGAACACCTGTGTTATAACGGGATTTTAAAAGGGGCTAGTAAAGTATCATCATAGATATGGCCTCAACAGCTTGGGGTGACAAACGAATCTCTAAGAATTTAGCTGCACTGCAGGCATTTGTTGGTCAAACATAGTGGCCTTAGCTTCAAAGCTACTCCGTGACCCTAAATCTATATCAGAAGGGATAATCCCAGACTACTTGACATTCATATTTGAAACCATTGTCAGCTTTAGACACTGATTGACTTGTAAATCTCACAGGGTGTAGGTGCTAAATCCAATATACTTAACTCGTGGATGCGTTGTTTTTCCCTGTTTCGTTTGGAAGCTTAAAAGGCCTCAGTTAACGTGAAAAACATATTAGCAAATAGCAATTCACAAATAGTCATCCTTGATGACACCAGCCGGCCACAGTTTCCTACTTCATGTTGAATTAAGTAAATACGTCATAACAGAAAGCGAAGGGACAGCACTAACTTAAGTAGAAATAACGAACTACCTTGAGTGTACGAAGTCATGCTGATAGTATCTGGAGATGAGCGAACTGTGAAGCAAACGGTGCAGAAAACTGGCAGTGTGACGGCAATGTGTGATAGCGACAAAATGGCGGTATCAATAGTGAAACTGTCGTCATAGCGACGTCATAAATCTCGCGAGATCGTCATAGCCTCGCGTGACGTTAACGCTATGACTGGTTTTCTTCGTGCTCTTCGCAAGTCAGGATCCCAGCCATGTTTCCCGATGTCGCGAGGTTAAAAATGGCTGATCATGGCTTGTATATAGAATGTCTTCATGCCAAACAAACAACAAACAAACAGGCGATGCAGCATCAGTGTCCATCTGCAAATAGTCACTACTCAAAATACCGATATGATGTTAAAATTTAACTCACTCACTCACTACTCTAAATATGATTGTAAACGTGTTTGTATCACACCAATTCGATTTGAAACAGTCACTTTAGTCTGTTAGTTAAAACACTCAACCCTCGTATAACATGCTATCTATTAACAGTCAAGGGGAAATGACTTGGTTCAAAACGTAATAGGCGTCTCCCGAAAAGTGGCGTAAAATCTTACTCACTCACACAAACAACCGACTACGACTTTAGTCAATAATAAGGCATGGGAGTTATGGTCACATCACCACTAAACTCGCTCTCTTTAAAGGCACTCTGGGTTTTTACATTCTGGAATTATGTTTTTGTACCTTTGCATAAATAATTATTGAGGGTAGTGTATTTTACCTTATGTCAAACAGTTAAGTATATTTTGCTCCCTCGCTTTGTCGTAGGAGGCGACTGTCGGAATGGGATGACACGATCCTTGTTGTCGATCGCTGGATTTCTCGTTCGATTCAATTTTTACATACCGCCGTTATAAAGCTGGAACATCGGGAGAGCGGCGTTAACTGCAATCTGTTTGACTAATTTAACAGATTTTAAGGCGCTTCAGGGGCCTGACACAGGAAATTTTAAGAGTGGGTGGGCGAGTTGGGTTTTATGTCGCTTTTAGTTTTAGCAATTTTACAGCAATATCACGACGGGGGGACACCAGAAATGGGCGGCACACATTGTACCCCATGTGGGGAAACGAACCCAGGTCTTCGGCGCGATGGGCGAATGCTTTAACCGCTAGGCTACCCCCACCGCCCCTGAGAAATGTTAAGAAGGAATTATACAGAGGCGCCTATCTCAACTGTTCCATTCTGGCGATGATATTTGACCCGTGTCCAGATGACTGACTGACTGAGTTTGGTTTTACGCCGCTTTTAGCAATATTCCAGCAACATCATGGCGGGGGACACCAGAAATGGGCTTCACACATTGTACCCAGTGTCCAGATGACACGCTGTGACATACTGAAGTCATGTTGAAAGCGGCGATAAACAAAACTCACTCACTCACTCGAACCACTTAGAATCACCCAAAGACAAACTAATTTCGTACAAAGCGAATGGAGGTTAGCTTCCTTTGTGAATGAACGTCAGTTTATCGTTTTCAAATTTTGACAAGAATACACCTATGTATGGATAATCCTTTTAAAAAGTATTTTCAATACAAACGGAGAGACAAAGTGTTTTCGTAAAATATTCATTATAAGAAATCGATATGCAAATAAAAACAAAATAATAAAGCAAGACTAACATCACGACACACCAATCAGTGTGCTCTTTTTATTTGTTCACCTATACCATTTAAAAAAGTAGGGGGTAGTCAACGAAACTACTGATATTTAATACCTTAAAGAGATAAATAGTGTCAGCGGGACATCTTGACTGAGATTAGCATTAGTCGTTAAACATCAGATGACAATAGATTTTGTTAGATCATTGACCAAAGCACCCTGCAGTAACTGTCCCTCGTGTCATATACCTGAAAAGACAAACTCATTAGTATCGTGTGAATCCGTCTCCATTCTCAAGACAATCCCGGATTCAACGAGACATACCCCTACTCAAACGTCCAATGTTGGTTCCTCCCATCCTATTCTTTCTACAGAGTAGTGCCAACTTCGTTCATATTGGTCAGTGGTTGTCGACAGAGACGTACGCGCCGTCCAAGAATACCCCGAACATGTTCGACGGGTGACAAGTCTAGTGCTGGCCATCTTTTTAAAGGAGGTTATGTTCTCCTGTTGGAGGACCTCAGTGATAATACGAGACCTGTGTGACGTCGGCACCGCGCGAGCTTCCAGCATTTGGTCACGGTAGTATACACAGTGACACGTCCGTGTATAACATGTCATGGTGTTCCAAACCACACCATCACCGAGCCACCCCAAAACGATTACTCTATCTATTTTCATTACTATTTTCTCGTATCTTCATTCTATGTTATTTCCCTCCACTTTGGTTGTGGGTCTTCCCTGATCGCCCTTGTGTCTGCCTACAGCCAGGACGGGTGACATGTCTCACAATACCTTGTACCCAGTGTCTACATCAACCTTGATCCACAAGCAGCATAGATATGTAGAAATATACACTGGGTTAGAATTTGTGTGCATTTTCTAGTTCAGGAGCGCCTTTAAATTCAATCTTGTGAGTGTAGGTGAAAACAGGTATATATAAGTATCTATGTCTATGAGAGTATACCCTGGCCCTATTTGCCTCTAGAGCTTTGTGACCCGTGAAGATCCGGAGTAGAATAGGTCTTCAGCAACCCGTGCTTGCCACAAAAGGCGACTATGCTTGTCGTAAGAGGCTACTAACAGGATCGGGTGGTCAGGCTCGCTGACTTGGTTGACACATGTCATCGTATCCCAATTGTGTACATCGATGCTCATGCTGTTGATCACTGGATTGTCTGGTCCAGACTTATGTACAGACAGCCGCCATATAACTGGAATATTGCTGAGTGTGGGGTTAACCAAACCAGTACCATACTCGTGTCAATTACTGCATCAGTTTATCACTTTCACACAATGATGACTAACGCTAACACTCAAGCCGGTGTCGAAAGCGGCTTAGATCCACTCACTCATGCACATTAAGACTACACCACGTACTTTGAAGTGAACTATATATGAATAACACTCAAGTTCGGCTTTATAAGTTTATTACAATGTTTCACTGTGACATGTTTATAACAGACGCGACACACATCAGCTGGAGAGATACTCTTTGACTAAGAATGTTTGGTGATCTGTTACGAGACGGGCGACACTTATCTTCTACCTGTGGAAAGAAGGAAAAATCATTGTTAGAAATCTCAAAGAAGAGCAAAGTTCATTATACCATTCAGATTATGTCCAATGCATGTGTTTAAGATTCACTATCAGGTGACACGGATAATCTCTCAAAACAAACTGTGGAATTATTATGGACATGCGCCATTGTTACTGCATGATGTCCGTTAAACATACTTTAGACGCAGGGCAAAAGAATTACCTGACATGGACAAAACTACTGACGCATTAATGAGGTGGTGCATGAAAGTGAAATAGAGATTTTGTATGTTATGTGTGGAAAGTTTGATAAACTGGTCTCGAGAACAGCTAACTCAGTCACAATGAAATGGCCTGGAAATATCAACAGGAAACCCCATGACACACCCAACTCGGAAACTATGTAGGGCAGACATGTTCCGCGACTAAATGAACCATACATCATGGGTAGGGTATTTCTGCACTTGGTGTTCAAGATGACTGACAATAAACAGAAGTCGTGTGCTATGTAACAAAAGAAAACACAAACGGCTAGGAAATTAAGATAGTTTTAATCAGTACAGATTAAAGTAAAACTGAGATTGAATCTTGTCCGAAAAAGCCAAAATGTTCAAGTAAAAACTAAAGTATAACACAGTATGACATACAGTCTACATTTTTAAGAAAAGCCAAACCCACAAAATGTCCGAAAGGTCCGAAAAGTATAAAAAGTGTTCAAAAGGTCCAAAAATGCCAAAAGTCACCAAATGTTTCAATGTAAATAATTATTATATGGCACAATATCCAAAAGGTGAAAGATGTCACTGCAAGCGTCCATCTTGACACAGAACATTCTCCTCAAGAATCCAAGAGTTTGCAAGATGTCACTATGAGCGTTCATCTTGACAGGAACAATTTCCCTAAGAATCCAAGAAGTAGCAAGATGTCACTCTAAGCGTCCATCTTGACACGGAACACTCTCCTCAAGAATCCAGACACACGTGACAGGAAGACTCGAACTGGGGACTGGGTCGGGGTGTCGTCATCATCGAGGTTGATATCAACGAAGTGAGGGGCATCACGGAGGAAAGGGGTAGAGAGGGGGGCAGGAAGGGAGGTGGGAGGGACGGGCAGCTCAGACAGGGGCTCAAGGATGGTCATGTATCTCCCAGTAGGACGCTGAGAGGGAGGGAGAGAAGGACATGAAGAGAGTGACAGAAGGTGGAAGTGGAACAAGAGGAGGAAAGTTGTTAGATGGATTTGCTAAAAATATAATCATGATTTGAGAAGAATGTTAGCATTTAACATATGTGATTATTACTGCTCATTAGTGTTCAAATTATTGGTGAGAGTTATGTTAGTAACAGATAAAGTGGATACATTCATGAATACAAAACACACAATTTCAGTTTTACAAAATAACTGATTCCCTAAGACACCCACTTGGCGAGGAGGGGCCCAGATGTCAAAGTTCAAAGGGAACCTGATCACGAGGTCAAGAGCTGTCGGAAAGAAGGAATGAAAGTTATGTAAATCTATATACAAGAAACTGGACCCAACTGTATTAAAACTAATGTCTTCATTAAACCCAAAGTCTTCATTAGTTGACGACACCACCAAAATGAGTAAGTTGTAATAAAAAATATAGCATTTTCAAAAAATGTCATTACATTAGGATTTTCCACCATAATTTAGCAATACTAACATTTTATGAAGGCAAGCTGTTATTGAAAGTTTGCCACTCCAAATATAAAGTGAGAGTTTATATGGAACGTTATTGTACAGAAGTAACCTTGTTTGAAGTGAATTAAAATATTGAAACTTATGATGTTGTCAGTTAGGTAGAACCTATGCAATCACATCATATATAGTTAGTGAATCTGCTCCTCATCGTATGTAAGAAAGTTTTCGGGAGTAGGTTAGAACTAGCCACTTCAAACGATATTTCAATAAAATAATATTTTGGAATAGTGTAATGGAACCTTTGTAATCACCAACTGTGTGCTTTTTCTGAAAACAATTGATCACTTCAATTGTGAAAAAAATTAGAATTCGTATGGTAGTGGGTTAGTTAATGTTGGTTAAGTACTAGGGAACCTCAATAAGCACCAGTTGTGTACATAAACGCCTTACTTATCGTTGTGCTGTGGGTTTTCGGACACCTAAGAACATGCTTTGTTGTCTCGGTTATCGCATAAACAATTGTAAAACATGCCACAAACCTATAAAAGATAGCTTTTATCATTGACACAAGCCATCTTTCAAGAGTTCAAAATGTCTCTGCGAGGCAACACCCCTCCATACAGCCCGAGAACAACTGTGTTATAACGGGATTTTAAAAGGGGCTAGTAAAGTATCATGGATATGGCCTCAACAGTTTGGGATGACAAACGAATCTCTAAGAATTTAGGTGTTGACCAGCTGCACTGCTGGCATTTGTTGGTCAAACATAGTGCCCTTCAAAGCTACTCACTGAATCCTAAATCTATATCAGAAGGTAATCCCACACTACTTGACATTCACATCTGAAACCATTGTCAGCTTTAGACACTGATTGACTAGTAAATTTCATAGAGTGTAGGGGCTGAATCCAATATATACCGTTAACTCGTGAATGCGTTGTTTTTCCCTGTTTCCTTTATTTACAGTTTGGAAGCTTAAAAGTCCTCAGTTAACGTGAAAAACATATTAGCAATTCACAAATAGTCATCCTTGATGACACCAGCCGGCCACAGTTTCCTACTTCATGTTGAATTAAGTAAATACGTCATAACAGAAAGCAAAGGGACAGCACTAACTTAAGTAGAAATAACGAACTACCTTGAGTGTACGAAGTCATGCTGATAGTATCTGGAGATGAGCGAACTGTGAGGCAAACGGTGAAGAAAACTGGCAGTGTGACGGCAATGTGTGATAGCGACAAAATGGCGGTATCAATAGTGAAACTGTCGTCATAGCGACGTCATAAATCTCGCGAGATCGTCATAGCCTCGCGTGACGTTAACGCTATGACTGGTTTTCTTCGTGCTCTTCGCAAGTCAGGATCCGAGCCATGTTTCCCGATGTCGCGAGGTTAAAAAATGGCTGATCATGGCTTGTATATAAAATGTCTTCATGCCAAACAAACAACAAACAAACAGACGATGCAGCATCAGTGTCCATCTGCAAATAGTCACTACTCAAAATACCGATATGATGTTAAAATTTAACTCACTCACTCACTACTCTAAATATGATTGTAAACGTGTTTGTACCACACCCATTCGATTTGAAACAGTCACATGTTAGCTAAAACACCCCACCTTCGTATAACATGCTATCTATTAACAGTCAAGGGGAAATGACTTGGTTCAAAAAGTAATAAGCGTCTCCCGAAGTAAATGCAGACACGATTTTTCTTAAACAATGTAACTCAAACTCATAAATGTTTCTCAATACGTTGACAAAGACAAACTAACTGGGCTTGATTGAAAGTAGGTAAATTACTTAGAACCCAACAAAAAATGTTTCGTAATACGGTGATAACACGAGGCAACCTGGCAGTCATTGTACAAACAACCTTAGGGGCGGTGAGGTAGCCTAGTGGTTAAAGTGTTGGCTCGTCACGCCGAAGACCCGGGTTCGATTCCCCACATGGGTACAATTTGTGAAGCCCATTTCTTGTGTCATCGCCATGATATTGCTGGAATATTGCAAATAGGGGCGTAAAATCTTACTCACTCACACAAACAACCGACTACGACTTTAGTCAATAATAAGGCATGGGAGTTATGGTCACATCACCACTAAACTCGCTCTGTATAACGGCACTCTGGGTTTTTACATTCTGGAATTATGTTTTTGTACCTTTGCATAAATAGTTACTGAAGGTAGTGTATTTTGCCTTATGTCAAACAGTTAAGTATATTTTGCTCCCTCGCTTTGTCGTAGTAGGCGACTGACGGAATGGGATGACCAGGCTGACTCGATGCCCATGTTGTCAATCGCTGGATTTTTCGTACGATTCAAATATTTGCAGACCGCCGTTATAAAGCTGGAACATCGGGAGAGCGGCGTTAACTGTAATATGTTTGACTTATTTAACAGATTTTACAGGCGCTTCAGAGGCCTGACACAAGAAAATTTAAGAGTGAGTGGGCGAGTTGGGTTATAAGCCGCTTTTAGAAATATTCCAGCAATATCACGACGGAGGACACCAGAAATGGGCGTCACACATTGTACCCCATGTGGGGAATCAACCCGGGTCTTTGGCGTGATGGGCGAATGCTTTAACCACTAGGCTAACACACACACACACACACACACACACACACACACACACCCTCTGAGAAATGTCAAGAACCGAATTATACAGAGGCGCTTATCTCAACTGTTCCATTCTGGCGATGATATTTGACCCGGGTCCAGATGACACGCTGGGATATACTGACGTCATGTTGAAAGCAGTGATAAACAAAACTCACTCACTCGAGCCACTTAGAATCACCCCAAGACAAACTAATTTCCTACAAAGCGAATGGAGGTTAGCTGCCTTTGTGAATAAACGTCAGTTCATCGTTTTCAAATGTTGACAAGAATACACCTAGATATGGATGAACCTTTGTCGCCGACAGCCTTTTATTTCTCTATCTTTCCATTAAAAGGCTGCTTCTCCACTGTCTGATATAGGGAGTTGTACGTGCTACCCGTATTTGGCTCACCACCAAAAGCACGGGCTCCTACACCTGTGACGTATGTTGTGCCCTTAAACCTACAATGGTCTTAAGTGCACAGAAATCATGAATATTCATGAGTGGGCGGAGCTTATGTCACTACGTCACATACACGGCACAGTATCTTCCGCGGAACTAGTAGAGGGAGTTGACCAATGCTTCTTCGTCTGTTATTGCCTTATATAATGTGACATCTACAATATGCATATGAGGTATATGTAAACATGAAGTATACGTGCCGTTTATTCAATATAATGTGCTGTATTGAAGTTTTGCGACGCAACTTCCCACGGTGAAGGATTTCAAGCGAGAAAGCCTCCTCGAGAACAACCACGGTACCTAGCGTTGCGATGGAAACATTGACATGTCAATATTGTTATTGCTCAGTCCTGACTTTTCATAACTCTCCAACCAAACACAATAACATCTCTTGTCAACCAACTAAATACTTATAGGAGCACCTTTAGAATACAGCACCACAACTTCTCGTGAGGACGATCCCTGCCGTAGGTCACGTGTCCATTAAGACAAGCAACCAGTTTGTCAGAACCCGTCGGACGCGAACCCGCGACCTTCGGATTGTTAGCCCGACTGAGCTACGTCCACACTGTTGCTCAATGTGAAAATTTATCGAGTCATTCCTGTGACGTCACGGAAATGAACGGAAAGAGTCGAATAGGTCACGGACAATTACGAAGGTTACGGGTAGACTTGGTGTCTTTTGATTTTATTCTACGGACAATTGCCGAATGGATCCGATGCCATTTGGCACACTCGTCCCATTCCGTAATCTACAAATTAACGTGTGGCGTGGAATGAGCCGATATGCCTCAAACTGAAAAGGGTTGTTGACGTCAGGCGTCAGACGTAGATTTCACGGTGCATGCATGAATGACGCGTTTTTATATAAATCGGTGATTTTGTGACAGAAACGTGATGTAGGGAACACTGTAAGGATAATGTGGATCGCATTGTGGAACGAGGGACACATGAGCATGTGTAGTGACGGCACGAGGGTGAGTTAGCCTTCGAATCATTACTTTACAAAATTTATGTTGCGTGTGAAAGAGGCTTGAGTGCAAATTCCAGGCCAATTTCCATTAGCCCAAAATGTCTACATAAACCCATTTCATAATGTACTTTCGACGTTTTTGGTTTCCCGTTTTTGTGTGAAAAAAAAGTATTAAAATTCAAAAAGGAAAAACAACAAATGGTACTCACGTTTTACACCGGACATGTACCTGCTATATTGGATTAGGTCCCTAACCCTAACCCTAAACCCTAAACCCTCAGCCCTAGCCCTAACCCTAACCCTAACCCCTAGAAATAATCCTAATAAATAGAATGCATTGACCGAACCACCGGACATGTACCAACTATATTGCATATTAGGTCCCAAAACCTAACCCTAAACCCTAAGCCCTAACCCCAATCCCTTGAAGCCCTAAGCCCTAACCCCAATCCCTTGAAGCCCTAAGCCCTAAGCTCTAACCCTAACCCTAACCCTAACCCTAACCCTAACCCTAGCCCTAGCCCTAGCCCTAGCCCTAACCCCAATCCCAATCCCTTGAATTAATCCTAATAAATAGAATGCATTGACCGAACCGGCACAAACATGACTGACGTGTCTAGTGTAATGCATTATTACCGCTTTGAAAAATAAAATACTAATAAAACACTTTTCTATGTAATGGTGCAAATTACTGAATGACAAAAATATATATGTAAATTAAAAAAAATACAAAATACAAAATACACAAAACATAACACCTCAGCAGCCCGTAATACAAATAAATATGTGCGTATTAGTGAAAAAAGAAAAATATTTCAAACTGGTGCTTGCAAAATATTGCGCATCCGCCGGTTTACAACTACTGGAAACTCTCAACATCTTTGGGCTTATTAAATGCCATAGCTCGTAGAGATGAAACACCAGTGAGCGGAGCTTATACGCACTCGCTGAGCCAGACAACTGTGTTGCCATGCAGGCGTCATTGGGCATTGTTTCGAGAACGTGCTTTCGAACAAAATCACATTACATTACGTAAAAGGGTATTATGACGTATTTTTAAAGTTTGTGGTGCTGTATTCTAAAGGTAGGCCGAGATTTATATCCCAGGGTAACCTAGCATGGCAACAAATATTTCTGGAATTTGGGTCGTGTATCTGAAGTATCTGAGGAATGCCTCCAAATGGTAAAATTACTAGCTTCTCGTGTGAAGGTGCAGATAGATATATTAAGGATAAAAAAAGAAACACCATGTCAACACCTCGGCCAGTTTAATTGTCTGGCAAAGTATATCCCTCCAAAGATACCATACTGCCAGGGTGTTTTGGTACTTTGGCAAGTCTTAATGAGTTTACTGATTGGCAGTTAAAATCACTTTCAATTATTTTCAACTTAACTTCCCTCTAAAGTAATTGATCATTTTCATGGCATTTTCAACACCCCTTTGAGCCTGGTCCCTTTGACCATGTACAACCCCCCTCTAGACTGAAAATTTCATTCACTCTCTCTCCCATTTCAGCCAAGCTGGGCCGCTTCCTCGGCGCGTCAAGGCGGACAGTCAGTGTGCACCACAGAGGTTCTGCCAGCTGCCCAGCACAGCTTCATCCAGCCCCAAGCACCCCAGGGGACTGGTAGGAAATGAATTGCATGTTGTTTTTGCTGTGCCTTTTTTAAAAAGGTCCATTGTGCATTAAAGGTTTTCTGTGCACTTAAGGTTTCCTATAGCAGTCCTTAAGTGCACAGAGAAACCTTAAATGCACAATGATGTCTTGGCCCCTCCCTGCACCCTCTTGGCTGTTTTTGGCTGGTGCAGAGGCCCTACCTGATCCCTTTGACCATGTACAACCCCCTCTAGACTGAAAAATTCATTCACTCTCTCTCCCATTTCAGCCAAGCTGGGCCGCTTCCTCGGCGCGTCAAGGCGGACAGTCAGTGTGCACCACAGAGGTTCTGCCAGCTGCCCAGCACAGCTTCATCCAGCCCCAAGCACCCCAGGGGACTGGTAGGAAATGAAATGCATGTTGTTTTTGCTGTGCCTTTTTTAAAAAGGTCCATTGTGCATTTAAGGTTTTCTGTGCACTTAGGTTTCCCATAGCAGTCCTTAAGTGCACAGAGAAAC